TCCTTTTTTGTTAAGTACGTAAAGAATGAAGTGTTATAAAAACCTATCTATTATTAATGAATAACTACTTCAAACAATTAAACAAATATAAAATAATATAAGAAAAGTTCAGAAATATAGAGATGAGATAAATAGAAATTAAATAATTTTGATAAATGATGTGTGGTTTATTCATAAATGAACAATAAGAAATGAAAGAAATAGAAAATGATAATAACATACTAACAATAAGAATGACAGTACAAAACAGACGAATGAAACGTAAAATATATTTATTATATAATGAAGTTAATTTTGAAGATGTAAAACCACAACAAACACGAAAATTAAATAATATGAATATGGAAAAATAACAGTGGTGTTAACAGAATAACAACACTAAAGAATGAAAACAAATATACAAAATAAATATCATTACTTAGATTAGCTCATATTATTTTATTGTAATTATTGATAAAGTACAATAAATTATTAAATAAATTTAAGAAAAAATAATCATTTAAATTCTTCATTATAGAATGTTTTAAGGAACTTTTAATTTTAATGTCTAGCTCTAGTACTCAATCAGATACTTTCACCCTTAGAGCCTGGTATATTATCTTGAGTTGTTTCATCAATTTCTTCTGGAAAGAAATGAGAGAAATAAGACTGAAGATCTTCCTGGTCATAGTTATTGAGTAGTTGAAATTGTAAGAGAGTAATGAAAATGATATAAAATGAAAATACTTTTTTATTTGGATTTAATAATATAAGTTTTAGTGTTGTGTAACACCAATTTTGACATTCAAGAAGTTGTATATTATCAAATATATTTAACTCAACGTCAACACCATCTATCATAATTCCAGATGACTTTTGCCATAATAAATTACTAAAAATGTTTAGTAATGTTATTGCCTTACATCTCATTTGAGGTGATTTGTGATATACTAAATAAAATAATTGAATCCCATCAGAGATATTCTCTTTAACTTGTGCTAATAAATCAATATTTTTTAATGAAGAAATACAAGTTTGATATTCTTGAATGATTTTCCCTTCTATTTGCATAATTTTATGATTTTAAAAAGTTTTAATGAATAACTTAAAAATATAGTAACTTTTATTGGACAATGAACTTTAATCATCAACCACGTTGTTATTACAATTAATATTGCGATTAAATAGTGTTCATTTATATTTACATAGAATGAACTACCCTAAATCGCTGTTTCTTTTCGTTTTAAATTGTCCAAACACAGTTATCTTTTCATGTTATAAAAATTGTGGTTTAATCAAAAAATAATCACAAAGAAATATCCTATAAATAAAAGTAATAATAAAATTATTATAAAAAATATTATAATCAAACTAGAAAAAAAAAACCCTTTAACGAACATAGAAATGAACACTGAAGGAGTTACTGTAGTGGAACAAGAAAAAACATTTAACGAGTTTGAATTAGATGATTTTCTAACACACCAACTAAAGAAAAATAATTTTATTAAACCAACGATTATTCAATCTCAATTTATTCCATTTGCATTAGAAGGGAAAGACATTATTTGTCAAGCAAGAACAGGGAGTGGAAAAACACTCGCATATGTTATTCCTATTTTAAATAATTTATTAGTTAGTCAAGAAGAACAAAGAAGGATTAGAGTTATTATATTAAATCCATCAAGAGAATTATGTTATCAATGTAAAAATGTTATTGACCAATTATTAAAAGGATATTTTGGTATTTCAGTTTTAAACGTTGCGAATGAAAATGGTGTTATTAGTCAAAAAGGAAAAATGAAAAGTATTCCCGATATTATAACAGCTACACCAGCTACATTACTACAATATTTAAAAAAGACTGGAAATAATTTAGATGGAGTAGAAATAAGTGTTTATGATGAAGTTGATTTAATGATAGCATATGGATATGAAAATGATATTAAAGAGCTTAATAAAAAAATACCAAAAGAAAGTGTTAAATGGTTATTAAGTGCAACTATTAATGATGATATAGAAACATTAAAACATTTAATGTTAAAGTCAGCAGTTAAAATAAGAATAGAAGAAGAAGAACAAGTAAGTGTAGAAGAATATATAATTAATTGTGAAAGAAAAGAGGATAAAGCATTAAATTTATATGTATTATTAAAATTAAATATGATTCATGGGAAAGTATTAATATTTGTTAATTCTATTCAAAAATGTTTTTATGTAAAATTATTCCTTGACTTATTTTCTATTCCATCAGTTGTTCTTAATAGTGATTTACCAAGAGATATTAGAATGAATATTATTGAACAATTTAATAATAAAGAATTTAATATTCTTATTGCTACAGATGAAACTACTATTCAAAAGATTATCCCAAAAAAACTTCAAGAAGTTAAAGACAAAAATAATATGGAAGAAGTTGGAGATCATTCACATATTATTTCTGAAGGTGATTCAGCTCAAGAAAATTATAGTGTTTCACGTGGTATTGATTTTCAAGATGTAGCATGTGTTATTAATTTTGATTGTCCTATTTCTATTGTTAGTTATACTCATCGTATTGGTCGTACTGGTCGTGCATCGAAAAAAGGTACTGCTATTACTTTTGTTTTAAATGAAGATAAAGATTATATTACTTCAATAAAGAAAGATCATGAAATAAAAGATTTTATTATTGAGCCAAGTGTTGTTGGTGCATTTAAAACAAGAGTTTATGATATGCAAAGAAATGTTACTAAAAATGCATGTAATGATGCTAGAATAAAAGATTATAAAAAGGAAGTTGGTAATGTCGAAGAGCTTAAAAAAAGTGTTGGAAAATTGAATATTAAACACACAGCTGCTTTAGTTGACCAAAGAGCACAACACTTAAAAGATATTCCTGATTATTTATTACCAGATAATGTCGTTCAAAGATTAAGAGGAGTTTTAGATAGAACAAATGAATATGAAGCAAAAGAAACAAAAAGAAATTCAAAATCTAAATCTTCAAAGAAAAGAAGAGAAAGCAAACCAAGAAAAACTTCAAATAAAAAGGGATTTGTCAAAAGAATGACAAGTAAAAAATAAATTTATTATTTTTCTTAATTGAATGATGATTGTTGAATTTGTTTTTTAATGATAAAAAGGTGAACATAAACTAAAGTTTCTTTATAACTACAAACTTTTAAATATATTTAAAAAGATATTTCAATAATACTACTCAATTAATTAAAATATTTGATATATTATTCATTTGAATTAATAATTAAATGATTATGATTAAATTATTATTTTTATTCTTATATAAATCAGTTTAATTATTTTCTTTTTTTATTTGACTTAATTTACATGAAAAACAAAAATTTAAGTAACAACAATAATTCAATACTTCTAGTTTTTCAAAACAGACAGACACATATTATAATGGTGTTTATTCACAATATTATTTAAGAAAATATCAAACTAAAACTGCTTTTATATTTTATTTTTTAAATAATTCATTTTTATTTAAATAAAAAGAATTAATTTTTCTTAAATTTTTTTGATGAAGAAAAACATTTTAAAGTTAAATTATTTTATGTTATTTAATACACTTTGTGTTTTAGAATAAAGAACTATAAAATAACAAAAATGGAGAATGATTTTGATAATACTCTTATGATAAGTTTAGATTCCCAAGTTGTTACATCAAGAAAAACACGATCTCCTAGAAAAAGGATTAATAAGAATGAAAGGTCAACTGGTGTTTTAACTATAAGAGAATTATCTCAGTCTTCTATCAATAAAGAAAGTGATGATTCTATTTTCTATGAACCGAAAAATGAAGAAAAAAAAGAAAGTCAATTTAAAACAATACTAAAAAGTAAATTGGGTGATGATGAAAAATATGCTGTTGTAGAATATATGAAAAATCAAAACGATTGTATTACTTTCTGTTTTGTGAATAAAAGTTGTAAAAAAATTATTTCTGAATTTTCATATAACCCTGTTCCTATTACTACCATTTATCCCTTTTATAACATCACTTCATTAATTCGATATTCATCAAATGATCCAATTATTAGTTCACAACAAATTGAAAGAATTATTTGCACATACCCAGTTTCATATTCTGAAGCTGAAGAATTAGCAAATAATGGTATGGAATGTACAAGAATTAAACTGTCAAGAGAGGATGTTGAATTAAACGGTATAACAATTCCAGAGGAAGTTGATGTTATTGGAGAAAATTGTTTTAGTGAATGTTTTAATCTTAGATTTGTTCCATTTCCACCATCAGTTCATCAATTAGAACGGTTTGCATTTTCACGTTGTAATTCATTAACAACAGTTATTATACCATCTTCAATTACTAATATTGGAGAGGGATGTTTTAATGAATGTTGTCAATTAGAAAGATTATTTTTAAGTTCAGACTTAACAATAATTGGAAATGATTGCTTTAGTGGTTGCACCAAACTAAGTTTTATTAAAGTGGAAGGTGAATCAAAAAAGTTTTTTGGTTTAGTACCATATTGGATTGCTCAATTAATAGAAATAGAAAATAATATTCAATGTGTTAATGTTGAATTTACTTCATATGATAGAAAAATTAAGGATGAAATTATTCCTACCACACTTAAAACTCTTGGAGAATTTTGTTTTTCTAATTCTTTAAATACGTCTATTATTATTCCAACAAATATTAGTAAAATAAAAGGAAGTTGTTTCTCAAATTGTTCTAAATTAAAATCAATAATAATACCAAATACTGTTGTTGATTTAGCTTATTCATCATTTTTTAATTGTTCTTCATTAACATCAATTACAATTTCTAATTCTTTAAAAGAATTAAAAGACTCGACTTTCTCTTATTGTTCTTCTTTAGTAAATATATCCCTTCCTACTTCATTAACTAAAATTGAATCACGTTGTTTTTCTTATTGTACTTCATTAAAATCAATAGAATTACCATTAAATGTTGTTGAACTTGGAGATCAATGTTTTTCACATTGTTCATCTCTTCATCAAATTATTATATCAGACTCTATTACAAAATTAGGTACAGAATGTTTTTTGTCATGTGAATTACTTGAAAATATATTTCTTCCAAATATTCAATTAATACCCATTTCTTGTTTTGAAAATTGTTCAAATTTACTTGCAATAACTATACCTAATGCATTTAAATTATGTGCTAAATGTTTTAAAAATTGTATTGAACTTCAAGCTGTTGTATGTGATTTTATAAATATTCCTATTAAATGGGAAGAAAGTAGTTTTGAAGGATGTTCTAAAATAAATAAAGAAACATTAACTAACTTAAAAATAAACTATCTAGAACAACACAAGACTCAAAAAAAGAAAAAATAAATATTTATTTGTAGAAGTTACATTATATAAAAATCTTTAGTTAAATTATTTGTTATTATTTATTCTATTAAATAACAAATACATTCATTTCTTTTTTTTAAATCATAACCTTTCTTTTGTATCTCTTTGGTAAGAAACTAATTTGTAATTGGTTTTATTGTTTTATGATAATAAAAATAATGTTAAAATTTGTCATATTCAAAAATTATTCCTCAAAAATAGAAGAACTTATAAATCATAAATAAAATAATGTTCAGAGAAAGGCATTTTGATTTTTCAGAACGTTTTGGTGATATAATAGAAGAAGAAGTACGAGATGTTCCCTTTAGTGAATTTGGTAGAATTTCTGTATCGTATTGTAACATTACTAACAATAAAATTAATAAAAGTACTTTTAATAATGAAATTAATTTTTTAGCTTCTGTTCAAAAAAGAAGTATTGGACCTTTTGAAATTGCCATTTTAAATGAAGAAAATATTGATAATGTTTTGGATGTTTTTAACAATTTATTAGTCAAAAACTGTACTGGTATGACAAGTTCAGATAGAGACGTTATTGTTCCTTTCATTTTTTGTGAAAATCTTGAAATTGTTGCAAAGTCTCAAATCATTTTGGCTGATTCTAAAAAACCTGTTCCAATATTTAGCTATAACCCCGTTAATAATATTGAAGTACCAGATGTTTCTGAAACGTATTATCAATACCTAACAAGAATGATTCAAAAAGATAATTTTACTCAATTCAATCAATACCGATTAGCTTTTAACCACAATGATATTCCATCAGTATTTATTAATGCACAAAGATTACTTCAATTGTCTTCTTTTGAAACTGACTATTTATTAAATTTATTAAAAGACCCTTCTTCAAATCTCTTAGCTTTTCATTTTATAATAATAAGACCAAAGAATTTGTTATTAGTTGATGTTCTCGAAAGATATATTCTTGATACATTAATTCCTAATCCACAGAATTTACTTGTATCATTTGATGCAAGTATTGTTGATGAAGACTCTGCTAATAATGAATTTATTCATTATTGTCTTTCATATATTCATCATTATTTTCCTAAGAGGTTGAAAGTAGTAAAGAAATTAATTCCATTGATAAAGACTTTTGATGAACTTATCATTATTGATATTTTCAAGATTTTATTTTCTCAGAGTTATTATGAGAAGTTTGCTTTTTTATCTCGAGATTGTATTTTAGAAAAGAAAGTTAAAAAGAATAAAACAAAACTAGTACTCATGCTATTAAAATATCAGTGTCTTTCTTCTGAAATTAATCAAAATATCCAAATATTTTGTTTAAATTGTATAAAAGAAATACTTTGTGATGAAAATGAATGTCAGTCTCTCTTAAAGGCAGTTATTCGATTAAAAAGATATGGAATTAATGAGATGTTTAGAAGTAGTTTTGATGATTTAATTGTTTTTATGAAAAGTATAGTTGAAAAAAGTGAGTCTAATAAAGTATTAATAACTCATTATGTTGTATTAGATTTATTAATACAAAGTTTGAATTATTATCAAGACGAAAGAATATTACCATTATATAATTTAATTGGTAAAAAGATCATAGAACACTTTGACAAAAGTACAGAGAATTTATTTGATTTAATAAAAAATTCCAGTTTATTATTTGTGTTTCCATTGAGTGGGTTTATACCTATTTGTGTTGAATATCTTCAGCAACACCAGAATGAATATGATAATATCCCAGTTGAAAGATTAGTAATGACAAATGTTAAGAACATGGAAAGATATGAACTTGTAAATAAATTTATGATGCAGTGTTTTGAGAATTTAAATACAAATTGTTGTAATTTCACTAAAGTGAAAGAAATGTTTCTACTTTCATTAACTCCATCAAGTTGTGTTCAATTTATACAAATTTATAATACCCAATTTAAAAGAGAGTTACTTGAAATTGCAATTGAATCTGCTAATAGAGAAATTCAATTTATTGAAGACAATGATATTGTGTCGTTAAAACGATACTACAAAATATTTTTTGAACTTCATTTAATCTTTGCTAAAGCACCTAAATTTGAACAAACCAGGGTAATTCCAGCATTAAAAGTATGTACTGTTTTATTCAAGTATATTAGAATTCTTTATAATGATATTAAAGACTTACCAGAAAATGAACAAAGGCAAATATTGTCTTCTTTTATTCAATTTGATATTAGAAATAATTGTAAAGATATAAAATGTAGTAAATTTGTTTATTCAAATACAATTAAGGCTTTTCATTCGGTTATTATTGCATTAATTAAAGATACAATAAGTGGCTTTGATGAACAAGGATTAATTTCAATTATTAAAAAGAAATGTATTGAGCCAAGTGATTGGATTCTTTTTTATTTATTTAATTGTGTTGACAGAGAACAGTATGTTATGAATAATTGGCTAAAAACAACATTAGAAAATGATTATGTTATTAAATCATGTTTATTAGATAAATGTAAAGAGGTCAACGTTTTAAATACTATTGGATTTAAAATGGGAATTGATCTTGCTTTTAATACTCATTTTCATCTTCCATGTGTTGAGAATTATCAATTAAAAATATTAGGAAATGAAGTATTAGATATGAAAGGGATTCACCACGCAGTAATATTCTTAAACTCTATTGAAGACACTAATACTACAAGAATTAACATTAACTTATTTGGGGAAAAATTAAATGGAAAATATCCATTGAATATAGTTGAAAAATTATATCAAATTATTCAAGAAGAACATTTAATTCAAAGTATTCAAACAAAAGATGATTGTGAAGATATAGGAATGATATATCAATACCATTCTAATGAAATTAATAGTCTTAATTTAATTCAACAATATGGAATTGAAAAAGGTATTCAAGTATTAGACTATGCAATAAATCATTCAATGATAATTACAAATAGTATAAGTACACTTAAACGTATTGGAATGGAAGAATGTACTACAGTTTTTTCTTTATCTAGTATCATAGACCCAAAAATTCTTGAGTCATTAACTGAAATTGATAAAAAGGAACTTAGTGAGACTATGAATGGAAAAGAACGAGAACTATTTGGGTATTTAAGTTGTAAAGTGTTACAGCCATATATTAATCTAAAAGAATTAAAACATAAAAAATTATTTGACATTCATTTAGAGGAATGGAAAAAAGTATCTGATGAAATAGGTGTTTTTAAAGAACAAGACATAACTGAAATTATTGATGTTATCTATACTATGTTCAAACAAGATAATCAAACAGAGTATTTATATTTAATACTTAGTATTTTAAATGCATACAAAAAAAGAGGATCTCAACAATTTATCCTTCAACAATTAACTAAAATAAAAGACCCTTTATTAAATGGGTATTGTTTTATTTCTATACTATCTGAATTAATTAAGTCAATTATTGAACCAATTGATGAAGATATTTTCAATGAAGATTTACAGGTATTGAAAGTTATGATAAATTATAATTCATGTAAGTATTTTGATAATTCAGAATTCTATCAACTTAAAGAATATGGTACTAATGTATTGAATATTTTTTCTTGGACAATGCCATGTAAAAGAATTTGTATTGAAGATATTCATCCTTGTCATGTTTCAGTCAACGCTAAAGTAATTAGAACTCTGGAGAAACAAAGAAAGATTCAAGATGGATTGAAAGAAAAGAAGTCTGGACTTTTCCTCATAGATTTGATTCAAGAAAAACAAAACGAAAGTACACTGGAATCATCAAAAGAATATTTTATTCCACCACCCAATACCAACCTGTCTAATACTCTCAAAGGTGTAGTCCAAAATATTGGAAGTTCATTGGCTATAAATTCATGTAATCAAAATAAATCACAACCGGAAATTATGAGTGATGAAGAATTTTATAATTTATTAGAGACTAATGATGAAATATTTTCAAAAAGTCTTGACTCTTTAGAACAGAAAGGAGTACTAGGTCAGCTTTGGGAAGAAATACCAGTTGAAAAGAAAAAGGAATTAACACCATTTGAATGTGCTTTTATTAAACATTATAAAGACTTGGGTATTGAAATAAAAGAAAATTTTAAAGGAAGTGAAGAAATGAGAGTGATGCATAATCAACTCAACGAAATTGGTTATTCACACATGCCTATTGTCAACGAGATTGTTCAAACGTTTATTTACTCTTTTGACAAAGGAAATAGTGAAGAAATGAAAAATTGTGTTGAGTGTTTAAAAGAAGAAAACGAAAGAATATCAAGTGAAGATAAAGAAAAGAAGGAACATCTAAGAAACATTATTATGATTATAAAAGAACATATTAGAGAAGAACAAACAAATTGTGAAGAAAAGAAAGAAAGTATTGTTAGAGAGATGATTGAAGTTCGTGGAATAGGAAGAGTTCCTATACCAGAAGAATGGGATGAAGAAGTTATTTTGTCATTACCTAATGATATTCTTCAAGACTACTTAGTAGATTATTACCATGCCCATCCATTAAGAAACCAAAAAAATACAAGTGTATTAAATTTAAATGCTATTCAAAATAATAGAAATATACACAAGCAACCTGAAAGAGATATTCAAAAAATGGAAAGAAAATATAAAACAGAGAAGTACAAAGAAAAAATTAATAAAGGAACAAAAATAGGACTAGTAGAAAAAGATTATTTATTTGCTTTTGATGATGCAATAAATCTTTTAATTAATTGCAATAAATGGATTGGGAAAGGGATTAAGCAAAGAATTGTATATTTATGTCTATATGATGAAACAATAAGTTATACTGTAATAAACAATTTGGTGATGTACATATTTAATGAACCATTTAAACAATGTGTTAAGCGTTGTAACGAAAAAGATGTTATAAAAGTTATGGAATTATTAATGGTTTTAATTAAACTTCAAAGTATTAAGAAAAATATAAAAGTAAGTCCAGCATTTATTCAATGCATTCAAAACGCTTTTACTTTATTCTTTAAAGAAAAAATAAGTTTTGGAGTGAATGTAAAGGCAATGTTTTTATTTAGAGAGTGTGTGCAAAGGTGTATTTCACAAAAACTAGAAATTCAAGACCCAGAAGCAATATACAGATATATTTCTAATGAGGGAAGGATTAATGAGCAAGAAATTGATGTGTTTAATTCTTCAATTATTGAATTACAAAATATTCAAGTCATTACTGCTAATAAAATTAACGAATTTATTCAAGAAGAATTATTAAATGAAGAAGAGTTATGGTATTTCATTGAACATGTTATTGAACAAAGGATAGACAACTTTGTTCTTTTTGTAGATTATACGAGACTGAGAGAAAAGTTAAAGAAAGAAATTAATGAAATAAGAATTAAAATTGTTTTTGGAATATTTTCATTAATTGGTCTTGATGATAGAATATTATCAAGTGAAATAACAAATATTCTTGATGACACAAATTCAAAAGTAAAGAAAATGTTAAGAAATTCACCTGAATTAATTGAAAAAGAATTTAATTTATTAAATAAAATACCTCAATACTTACCTTTTGAAATGAAATTAGGAAATCTAAAAAAGTCAAGTTTATCAAGTAAAGTTGAAGGAAATATTTTAGTTAAAGTTAAAAGAAATAATATAATCTATAGTTTAATGGAATCATTGTGTAAAATAAAACCACAAGAATGGTTTAAAACATTTAGAATTCAGTTTGTTGGAGAACAAGGAGATGACAATGGTGGATTATTAAAAGAATGTTACTCATCTTTTATTAAAGAGATTAATGAAGGAAAAGCTCAATTATTTATTTCTGAAGATAATTGTACGCTTATTCCAAATCCAGAACATAAAGAGTCTAAAATGAAAGAAATATATGAATTTATTGGAAAAGTAATTGGTAAAATTATACTTGATGGGGTTACTGTTGATGTTCATTTTAATGAAGCATTTCTTAGACTTGTATTAGGACTTACTAATCAGTTAGAAAATCTTGATAATATTGACAATTCATTTGCACAACAAATGAAAAAATTATTAAATGAAAATGTGAATGATTGGGGGTTATGTTTTGTCACAGACGAAGTGGTAAATGGAAAGATAAAAGAAATTGAATTAAAGGATGAAGGAAAAACAACAGAAGTTAATGAAACAAATAAAGGTACATACGTTGACTTGTTAATTCAACATAAGTATGTGAAAAGAATTTTATTACAATGTGAATGGTTCTCTCAAGGATTATATTCAATTCTTTCACAAAAAATTGTCAAACAATTTACACCAGCAGAAATTGAAATAATATTATGTGGAAATGAAATTAATTTTGAAGATTTGAAGAAAAATGTTGTTTATGAAGGGTATAATGAAAATTCTATTCAAATACAATGGCTTTGGGAACTTTTATCAGAATGGGGAAAAGAAGACCATATAAAATTACTTAAGTTTGTAACCGGACAAGTTAGAGCTCCAGTTGGGGGATTTGCCAATCTTAAAACATCAAACGGAATTGCTCTTCCATTTACTATCTCTTCTATTAAATACGACAATCCTGATGATAAATTACCCACTGCTCATACTTGTACTAATAAATTAGAACTTCCTCTTTATTCAACAAAAGAAAAGTTAGAAAAGAAATTATCTATCGCAATTAATGAATGCACTGGATATGAGTTTGTTTAATTTATTTTGGTTATGTGTTTGTTTATATTAAAATAATTTCTTTTATTATTAAACAATTAATTCAAAGATAATGATATTACACAAACAAAAAGTTATCCTTTTCTTTGTTGTTGAATGTTTTTAAATAATAAAAAACTGCTTTTTTTTAAAAAAAACCAATACTTGTTTTTACTTTTCTTTCATTTTTATCAATCTCGTTGAAAATAAATAATCCCAAAGTCATCAACAAGTTGTGTTTAATCCATTCATTCTCTGTCTTACTTGTTCCAATGACGTCTCTTGATAACACTTTTCATCAATACATATCTCAGTCAATTCAAACAGAGATTTCTTATCCTTATGAATTGCTCTTGGCTGTCCAGATGCACTTTAATAAAAAAATACCACTCCAATTCATACAAGAAGCATTAAGTAGAAACAAAAATGATTTGTACCTATCATTAAAAGATATCAATGAATCTTTAAAGTCATTTCCTCCACTTAATCCAACAGAAGAATAAGTTAATTTTTTTTTGTAAAACTTACATGCGTTTTTTAATGATATAATAAATAAAAATCTTTAACCAACAGTGTTTTTTTACTGACACTTTTTTATTTTCACTGTTGTTTATTGATGTACATATTTTTTTATTAATACAGCTAATACTTTTTTGTTATGTTTGTGTTTAAATATAATATATTCTTTTTGGCTGATTTTATACTTTTTATGTTCGTATTGGAAATAAGTAAGTAGGATTAATTTCTGATAGTATAAACATTCTTGTTTCTTCAATCATCTCTTGCCTTTTTTACTCTCCTTATGCTTAGTGAAATTTCCAGTTTTTTTTATTTACTCTTTTTTGTATTTTATTCAATTATTATATATTATTTTTCTTCTTCAACATAGATGGATATGGTCAGGAAGCAGAATGC